CTACACTATGTAACGCTGTGTCACGCTACACTATGTACCGCTGTATCACGCTACACTATGTAACGCTGTGTCACTTTACGCTGTATACCTCTGAGTCACGCTACAACGTGAACCAAACCATTCAAATCAAATGAAAGACTTTCAGACATAAATGGCTGTACATTTACAACCGGGGAAAGTTTACGTAAGAATTACTTGAGACTCACAACACGATCACAACACTCAGACTTTGTCATGTCCACAATCACTCACTTTATTAATAACAACTTGTACACGTCATTACAACACTGGACCAAACAGGTGTGCAACAGCATACATCATTACAACACTGACTGGACCAAACAGGTGTACAACAGTATTACCACCACAACACTGACTGGACCAAACAGGTGTACAACAGTCTACATCATTACAACACTGACTGGACCAAACAGGTGTACAACAGTATACACCACCACAACACTGACTGGACCAAACAGGTGTGCAACAGCATACATCATTACAACACTGACTGGACCAAACAGGTGTACAACAGTATACACCACCACAACACTGACTGGACCAAACAGGTGTGCAACAGCATACATCATTACAACACTGACTGGACCAAACAGGTGTACAACAGTATACACCACCACAACACTGACTGGACCAAACAGGTGTACAACAGTCTACATCATTACAACACTGACTGGACCAAACAGGTGTACAACAGTATACACCACCACAACACTGACTGGACCAAACAGGTGTGCAACAGCATACATCATTACAACACTGACTGGACCAAACAGGTGTACAACAGTATACACCACCACAACACTGACTGGACCAAACAGGTGTACAACAGTATAAACCACTACAACACTGTAGGCGTCAAGAGAGACACTTTACCTACAGTATTAAAGGTGATGTATACTGTGAAGAACACAGTATACTCTAAAATTAGAGCGGCAAGACAGTGGTATAATATATATCACATAATTAGTATGATAAGAAGGCAGTTAAGGAGTAGTATTAATGTAGTGATGCCATGAGAGGTGTAGAGCCCAGCCTCAGGGCTCTACAGCAGCACATCCCGGGGCTCTAAATCACTCTAAACACCGCTAATATAACATGGACCTGACGCCAATAGCTCTAAATATACCTGTCAGTCATCCATCTCTGTGTGACAGTGTTGGTGATGGGGTATAGCCCCCCAGAGTGCCTCCCTGCTTGCTCTCTCTCTCTCTCTCTCTCTCTCTCTCTCTCTCTCTCTCTCTCTCTCTCTCTCTCTCTCTCTCTCTCTCTCTCTCTCTCTCTCTCTCTCTCTCTCTCTATCTTTCTCTAATAGGTTAATATATATATATATATATATATATATATATATATATATATATATATATATATATATATATATATATATATATATGTCGTACCTAGTAGCCAGAACGCACTTCTCAGCCTACAATGCAAGGCCCGATTTGCCTAATAAGCCAAGTTTTCCTGAATTAATATATTTTCTCTAATTTTTTTCTTATGAAATGATAAAGCTACCCATTTCGTTATATATGAGGTCATTATTTTTTTAGTGGAGTTAAAATTAACGTAGATATATGACCGAACCTAACCAACCCTACCTAACCTAACCTAACCTATCTTTATAGGTTAGGTTAGGTTAGGTAGCAGAAAAAGTTAGGTTAGGTTAGGTTAGGTAGGTTAGGTAGTCGAAAAAACATTAATTCATGAAAACTTGGCTTATTAGGCAAATTGGGCCTTGCATAGTAGGCTGAGAAGTGCGTTCTGGCTACTAGGTACGACATATATATATATATATATATATATATATATATTAACCTGTATTTCCTGACAATTAATATTCCTGGAAACTCAGGAGTGGCCAGTGATGAGTGTCTGATAAAACAATAGACCGAGTTTACCGCATGCGTGATTCCTTCCGGACAAAATTATATGATTCGCTTGTGAATTATTCGCTAGAGTGCGGGTGAGGACATTAGGCCAGGCAGGAGAGTGCAGAGAGTGCAAGGATGGATCCCCAAGATACGTCTAGAACATTTCCTCTATTGACAAATAAGTTTACTAAGGGTCAGCATTTTGCAGGTTCCGCATTTGACTATAAGTTGATTATAGTATACATTGACTATAAGCTTAGACATTGACATCCTTACCCTTGACCAGGCATCTTGACAGAAAGAGTCTCTAATGATGGCACTCCGTCTGACCGTCAGGTTTCTGATGGCATAAACAAATTGACAAACGGGCCCTTTGAGGATACAATGTGGCCCAGATGGTTTTGAGAGATTTGTTGTAATATCTCTACCTAGTAATTGTAGATTGGGACCTCGACCCAACGAGTCCTATGAGTTAGTAGTCACCACGACACACATTACAGGAGTGGAAGATTAGGTTGTATCCTCCACTATATATTTCACATATTTTTACCAAGTATTCCATAGCCTCTTTGGTGGGTGCGAATAGAAATAGATCATCAGTATAATAGACAACCAGCGGCCAGATTCACGAAGCAGTTACGCAAGTACTTACGAATGTGTACATCTTTCCTCAATCTTTGACGGCTTTGGTTACATTTATTAAACAGTTTACAAGCATGAAAACTTGCCAATCAACTGTTGTAATTGTTATAAACAGCCTCCTGGTGCTTCGGAGCTCATTAACTGTTTAATAATTGTAAACAAAGACGCCAAAGATTGAGAAAAGATGTACTGGTTCGTAAGTGCTTGCGTAACTGCTTCGTGAATCTGGCCCCAGGACCTTATTAGTGGCCATGAGACACCCAACTCTACTACCTCTTAACTCTTTCAACAACTGATCACGATACATTGCAAACATATTCATACTGAGAACAGCACCTTGTTTGACCGTATTTTTTTTTTTTTGGGGGGGGGGTATTTTTCAATGAGGACATTGTTCCATTTCACAGCTAACTTGTATACCTAATAATATATATAATGTTTTGCGATGAGAATACACTTTTCTGCTAAGAAGGTTATGTAAAAGGTTTGGTGTGTTCAGCTTGGTCAAAAACTTTGAAAGCATCCAGAGACAGAGCTACTGGCTGAGTTGTACTCCTGAATAGTTTCCGCCACCACTAAACTACACAGCGTTGATGAATAACCATGAGTGTCGTATGCAAAGTGGAAGTCAGATGGGGTCTAATTGGTCAGCTATAAAGTCAGTGAACATAATCAAATACTTTGTTTAAGAGTGTGTGTGTGTGTGTGTGGGGCAGCAGTAAGCAAACAACCTCATTGAAGATCGGCAAATCTCTTGAATGGGAATAGGTACAGAGGTAGTTATTTCAGAGAGGGTCGTACCGTGGCAGAGAACGTCTGTAGCATAGACACAGATTTTTGGCGAATTTAACTTGGTCTCTGGAAACCTTAGATGCAGACCATCTTTATTCTGGAAGCTCATTTTAGCCTCTGGAAAGGTCTGTTGACCGTCTGCATCCTGGAAGCTCAACTTGGTCTCTGGAAAGGTTTAAGGTAGACAGTTTATTCTGGAAGCTTGGCTAGGTCTGTGGAAAGCGTTGAGGTAGAAGGTCTTTATCGTGGAGACAGAGCCGGGCTCCAGGAAGTAACTAAGTGCTCCTTGTATCACCGGCCGGTATTCAAGAAAACCTCGGCCCATCGTCCATCATACTAAACATTTTATCTAAAAAGTCGGAGCTCCGGTGAACGCACGCTGGCTTCCTGCCCCCTTCCACCCTCCCCCTCACCCTCTCCCTGAACACACCCTGACCTGCCACTGAGCCCCACACTTCACCATGAGCCCCACTGAGCCCCACTGAGCCCCACACTTCACCAGGAGCCCCACTGAGCCCCACACTTCACCATGAGCCCCACTGAGCCCCACACACTTCACCATGAGCTCCACTGAGCCCCACACACTTCACCATGAGCTCCACTGAGCCCCACACTTCACCATGAGCCCCACTGAGCCCCACACTTCACCATGAGCCCCACTGAGCCCCACACTTCACCATGAGCCCCACTGAGCCCCCACACTTCACCATGAGCCCCACTGAGCCCCCACACTTCACCATGAGCCCCACTGAGCCTCCACACTTCACCATGAGCCCCACTGAGCCCCACACTTCACCATGAGCCCCACTGAGCCCCACACTTCACCATGAGCCCCACTGAGCCTCCACACTTCACCAGGAGCCCCACTGAGCCCCACACACTTCACCATGAGCCCCACTGAGCTCCACACTTCACCAGGAGCCCCACTGAGCCCCACACTTCACCAGGAGCCCCACTGAGCCCCACACACTTCACCATGAGCCCCACTGAGCCCCACACTTCACCAGGAGCCCCACTGAGCCCCACACTTCACCAGGAGCCCCACTGAGCCCCACACACTTCACCATGAGCCCCACTGAGCCCCACACTTCACCATGAGCCCCACTGAGCCCCACACTTCACCATGAGCCCCACTGAGCCCCTCACACTTCACCATGAGCCCCACTGAGCCCCCACACTTCACCATGAGCCCCACTGAGCCTCCACACTTCACCATGAGCCCCACTGAGCCCCACACTTCACCATGAGCCCCACTGAGCCCCACACTTCACCATGAGCTCCACTGAGCCCCACACTTCACCAGGAGCCCCACTGAGCCCCCACACTTCACCATGAGCCCCACTGAGCCCCACACTTCACCATGAGCCCCACTGAGCCCCACACACTTCACCATAAGCCCCACTGAGCCCCACACACTTCACCATGAGCCCCACTGAGCCCCACACACTTCACCATGAGCCCCACTGAGCCCCACACTTCACCATGAGCCCCACTGAGCCCCTTCCACTCTCTCCCACAAATTAAGATTTTCACCCGTATATTTGCGCGTTTCTGCATTTAATTACAGATTTCCAAATGGAATATTGGTATTTGATAATTAAAGGTCCGGATGCCAGAAACCAAATTGTTGTACGACGTTTATGTATTTATTTGTTCGTCCAAACATATTTATTCTCAAGCGCTCTGCTGTGGCACTCCTGGCTTGATGGCACTGGCAGGTGTGGCACTCCTGGCTTGATGGCACTGGCAGGTGTGTGGCACTCCTGGCTTGATGGCACTGGCAGGTGTGGTACTCATTGTTTGATGGCACTGGCAGGTGTGTGGCACTCCTGGCTTGATGGCACTGGCAGGTGTGGTACTCATTGTTTGATGGCACTGGCAGGTGTGTGGCACTCCTGGCTTGATGGTACTGGCAGGTGTGGCACTGGCAGGTGTGGCACTCCTGGCTTGATGGTACTGGCAGGTGTGGCACTCCTGGCTTGATGGTACTGGCAGGTGTGGCACTGGCAGGTGTGTGGCACTCCTAGCTTGATGACACTGGCAGGTGTTGCACTCCTGGCTTGATGGCACTGGCAGGTGTGGCACTCCTGGCTTGATGGCACTGGCAGGTGTGTGGCACTCCTGGCTTGATGGCACTGGCAGGTGTTGCACTCCTGGCTTGATGGCACTGGCAGGTGTTGCACTCCTGACTTGATGGCATAGGCAGGTGTGTGGCACTCCTGGCTTGGTGGGACTGGCAGGTTTATACCGCCCAGGTGTCTCCACACCTGCTCTAGAATATATACAACAAATATGTTAACAAAATTTCACCAAATAAGTTGTTAAAAACTTGTTGTTCCTTGGATGTTGATTTAGTGATGGAGTGTATCCGGGTCCAGTTTCTACTCCTCTTCACATGTTAGAATATGCAGGGCGTCCTGGGGGCGTCCTGGGGGCGTCCTGCTGGCGTTCTGGGAGCGTTCTGAGGGCGTTCTGGGGTGCGTCCTGAGGGCGTCCTGGGAGCGTCCTGGGAGCGTCCTGAGGGCGTCCTAAGGGCGTCCTGAGGGCATCCTGGGAGCGTTCTGCGGGGGGGGGGGAGCTGAGGGCGTCCTGGGAGCGTCCTGAGGGCGTCCTGGGGGCGTCCTGGGAGCGTCCTGAGGGCATCCTGGGAGCGTCCTGAGGGCGTCCTGGGAGCGTCCTGAGGGCGTCTTTCCCGAGGGCGAAATTCTATGCTTAATTTGTGTTACCAGTTGGAGAGTTGAAATACACCTCCCTCCCTTCCACGATGTAACAGTGTAGGAAAGGAATAGCGGCTTCCACTCTCAGCTTATACATGAGGGCAGTATAGTGGCAGGACGAGCACATGTGTGGTGGTGGTGGAGGAGAATGCACTAACAACACGGCCTCATCACAGGTCACACACACCACCATCAACCCTCCTCACCAACAACACCGAAGTTATCCACAGATGCGACCACAAGAGGAGACTAGGCGTAGGCAAAGTGTATCTCTCATATAACTATCAACGGATTGCAGTTATCTACGTCCTAACTATCTACAAGAGCGAGACAGAACAGCCAGCCCACACCACACCTGGCCCAGCCCACACCACACCTGGCTCAGCCCACACCTGGTCCAGCCCACACCTGGTCCAGCCGACCAATGAGACTGCAGAACAAAGATGGCCGGACTGGACCTCGCCTCGCCCTTCACGCTATAAATAATATCAAACCTAATTTATATTGTATCCACTTTCCATTTGCCTCCGAAGATGCTAAAGAGAATTTCAGCCAAACGCGCGTCCTTTAACGATACAGATCAGGCCCAATACAGGTGTATAATACACTCTGGAGAGTGTATTATACAACTTTACACTGTGATAAATATATTATTAAATACATACAAAAATATGTTCATAAATAGGCAAATAAGGAATGAAGAAAAACACACACAATTAAATGGCCCTAGAGTTTAACATTAGTGTAAATCAATTTCATCCAATTGGCCAATTAAGACAATTAAGACCGGGAGTCGAACCGGAGAACCCTAAAAATGCCTCTGCAGGAAATTCGTACCCTGATGCAATTGTAGCAGCCGGCGTCCTGCGACATTATTGCTTTATATAAATAGGAGCACAGCACCGCCAACATTATTGGCGAGAACACCGCGAAATTAACGACGCATCAAGACTGTCGCGGAGTTCGCGGCGTGAACACCGCGACCAGTCTGTAATTATGAAGACTTTGATGACGTCTGTGTACAGGACCGTGATGGTGACGGCTGTGTACAGGAACATGATGATGACGTATGTGTACAGGACCATGATGGTGACGTCTGTGTACAGGGCCATGATGATGACGTCTGTGTACAGGATCATGATGATGACGTCTGTGTACAGGACCTTGATGGTGACGTCTGTGTACAGGACCTTGATGGTGACGTCTGTGTACAGGGCCATGATGATGACGTCTGTGTACAGGACCTTGATGGTGACGTCTGTGTACAGAAACATGATGGTGACGTCTGTGTACAGGACCTTGATGGTGACGTCTGTGTACAGAAACATGATGGTGACGTCTGTGTACAGGACCTTGATGATGCCGTCAGTGGACAGGACCATGATGATGCCGTCTGTGTACAGGACCATGATGATGCCGTCTGTGTACAGGACCTTCATGATGACGTCTGTGTACAGGACCTTGATGATGCCGTCTGTGTACAGGACCATGATGATGCCGTCTGTGTACAGGACCATGATGATGCCGTCTGTGTACAGGACCTTCATGATGACGTCTGTGTACAGGACCGTGCAACGTGAACACAATTTGATGATCTGCTCTCTTGATACCAACCGAACACACACTGTTGCCTCACCATTGTTGTGTACGACACTTGTGGTGGTAGTAACGACCGCGATAACTTCAGATTTTACCACACATTGAGTACCTGAAGCTTATAATTAAGCCAAGATAATACAATACTCACCTGTGGTGTAAACATTAAAGCCTATCAACTCCCAAATTATGTGAGAAATCAATTGTTCTAATGCAGTTAATGTCGTTATATACAAGGAAATTATGAAATATGTAATTACAGGAGAGGTGATTAGTTAGGGCTAGGTAGGGCTCCTGGAGGGTGTACGATGCCTCGCTGGCGGGTGTACGACGCCTCCCTGGCGGGTGTACGACACCCCGCTGGCGGGTGTACGACACCTCGAGTCGTCACATGTTGGACAGTTATTATATGATTTTGAAAGCAGCAAGCGACTCCGGCTCTCATGGTGAGTGAATATATAACGCCTCACCAGCGCTTTGATCGGGAATCGAGTCCTGCCCAGGAAAGACTGACTGAGCAGCAATCCGTATCTCTACGCCCCTGTTCACCCAGCAGTAACTAGGTACCCGTGAGTAAACACATTGGTGGACCGTGTTCCAGGGGGGAAAAGTCCTCGTCCAGTTAAGCGTAGACAATCGTCGTCTGCTCCACCACTCACCTGTGTAAACAAAAAATGCTAAATTGTCTTCCTGGTTTATATTCTTGTTCTACCTGTATGTTCTTTGGTGTTCTTAGCTGTGTGTGTGGGTGTAAGAACAGTCCATGTGCTCAGTGGAGCCGCTGGTCTAAAGTGCAGTGACTCCCGACCTGCATGTTGATGTGATATCTAATTGTATAATTACGAAGGAATGGATGCTGGGGGGGAGCATCTTCCCTTCATCTCTGTCTTCCACCCAAGCTGTTATCTTGTTATCTTCCCGGTAGCTGGAAACATTTATTATTCCTGTCCCTTTGCTGTCTGTCCCGTCAGTTGCCCCTGTCTGTTTGTGTGGTATTACGGGGGTACTTCTTTAGTAGAGTCTGGTCGGGTGGCGTAGAGTCTGGTGGGCTGGTGTAGAGTCTGGTGGGCTGGTGTAGAGTCTGGTGGGCTGGTGTAGAGTCTGGTGGGCTGGTGTAGAGTCTGGTGGGCTGGTGTAGAGTCTGGTGGGCTGGTGTAGAGTCTGGTGGGCTGGTGTAGAGTCTGGTGGGCTGGTGTAGAGTCTGGTGGGCTGGTGTAGAGTCTGGTGGGCTGGTGTAGAGTCTGGTGGGCTGGTGTAGAGTCTGGTGGGCTGGTGTAGAGTCTGGTGGGCTGGTGTAGAGTCTGGTTGACTGGTGTAGAGTCTGGTGGGCTGGTGTAGTGTAGTGTAGAGCACAGGGTGTAGGGAGAGTAGGTAAAGGGGCTGCCACTCGCCTCGGGGGAATACAAACTACAACCAAATGCACTCACAAGTATGGACACATGTATACATGAATACATACATGCATACATACACATATCTCCATACACATGTATAAATGAATAATTCATTGTATGATCCTGCACGAGAGCTAAGAACATTTTTATTTTACTTTTCTCACAAACCAGTAATTGCATAGTCGGACGTTGGAGTTGTATTGACCAGACGAGGGCAGTGTACTTGCACCTTCACTTCTTGAGGTTATCTTGAGATGATTTCGGGGCTTTTTAGTGTCCCCGCGGCCCGGTCCTCGACCAGGCCTCTACCCCCAGGAAGCAGCCCGTGACAGCTGACTAACACCCAGGTACCTATTTTACTGCTAGATAACAGGGGCATAGGGTGAAAGAAACTCTGTCCGTTGTTTCTCGCCGGCGCCTGGGATCGAACCCGGGACCACAGGATCACAAGTCCAGCGTGCTGTCCGCTCGGCCGACCGGCTCCCTAGACCGGCTCCTCGGCACTTTAAAACATTCAGTAAATAACACTGGCGTGATTGATAAGTAACTTAGATAACAACCGACAATTAACTAATCTTAACAAATGTGAATTAACTAATTTAAACTTTTGGATAAGAGAGATAAGAAACATCTTCCTTACTACGTTCATCACTCACGTACACACGCCCCTTTCTTAGCTGTGGCACGCCCCTTCCTTGGCTATGGCACGCCCCTTCCTTGGCTATGGCACGCCCCTTCCTTAGCTGTGGCACGCCCCTTCCTTGGCTGTGGCACGCCCCTTCCTTGGCTGTGGCACGCCCCTTCCTTGGCTGTGGCACGCCCCTACTTGACTGTGCCACGCCCACACTAAGCCCTCTCCCCTAAGGAACAGCTCAAACCCTTGCAACAAAAGAGACCAACGGAGAGCACCACAGAGGAAGACGAGGACCACACAAGATACCTCGCCAGTAATCTGCTCCAAGACGACGATAGCTATAAAGGCCCCCCAAGATCTCCTGAGAGGACAGTGGGTGTAAGTGGCTACACCCGTAGCGGGCAGCGACGCCCCCGTGACCGATGGCGTGTGACAACACCGACCAGAGGCACAGTACTCGTCACCTCCAGACACTACTGTGAACGCTGCAGGTGTATGTATGCAATATGTATGCAATATTGCCTGTTGCAGAAATACGCTGAGAGCAGCATGCATAGAGGCAAGGGAAGGCAGAACACAGCACAGGTAATATCCAGGCCAAAGCATCACAGATACTCTTGATGATGACTCAGAAGAGATGGACTCGATGATATAGCCGGAGCTCATAATACCGGACTCGGGGCCCAGGAGCCCTCATCCTGCTGGTGTCTCACACACACACACTCTCGTCTCCTCTATAACAAGTTTGTAATCCAACATGGATTGCAATACAATAACTATTGTATTGATTTATGTATCGGCACATTTCCAGGACCTTTGTAATGCATTTGTTGCATTGCAATGTTTACGAGATGGTGGTAGGGGGGTTGGGGGGAGGGGGGAGGGGGGTTAATTTATTGCAAAGGGGAATGCTAGCATTCCCACCGTCGGTTTACTGAGGGGTTCATTGTCGAGTTACCACTGTAGTTCGCTGCCGATATGTTAACTTTGCCACATGGCAACTATTGAGAGAGATGTGGCAAAGGTGCCACACCCGCTGGCGGGAAATGATCACCAGAGCTGTGACAGTTGCCACAGTTGCAGCTCTTCTGTAAACTCATCCGTCAACTTCTCTAGAATGGTTTCTCCTCAGGGATGAGGTGTTGAGTTGCCACTGGCAACCTCTCCCACTACACAAACATGCCAGAGAGGGAGAGAGGGAGAGGGAGAGAGGGTGAGAGGGAGAGAGAGAGAGGGAGAGAAAGAAAAGAAAAGAGTGAGGGGGGTAGGGGGGTTTCCCCTCACGTAAACAACGGGTTGCCA